GGGGGGGGGGGGTGGATTGTGAGACACACATAGGCTGTAAGGGGAAGGGCTGACACTGAGGGTGGAGAGTAGGTGGCAGTGGGACCAGCAACCCCAGGTGGCCACCCTCTGGAGGGGCACTTCCTGCCCCAAACAATGACAGGAAGGGCCTGGGCCCCCACCCTGCCCACCAGTTCACAGCTAAGGCCTATGGCCAGCTTCCACTGCTCCCTCCCAGGACCCAGAGGAAGAGACAGAAAAGGCCCAGACTTGAAGCCCAACCCGCCCCACACCAGTTTTCTCTCAGACATTTTTCTTTGTAAGTCTCTCTCCTGCTCACCTTGTAAGAACGAATGAATCGGACAAATACTGGGAAGAATACAGAAGGAGGTGTGGTCTTGGGACTCTCACCAAAGTATCGCACAACTGCATTGTAGGCCTCCTGGGGAAGGGTGGGCAGAAGGGGTCATCAGCCTGGCAAGGAAGGAGAAGCCCCCTCCCCACCAGGGACAGGAGGCCCACAGAAAACAGCATTCAGCCCCTATCGGCTGGAAAAGAACCTGGGCTCCCAAAACTCCCTAGAGTGTGCACTGCCAGAGGCAGCTGCCTGTCACCCCCAACGGCCCCTATCCCCCACATTAAGCCAGCTGGCCAGCGCTTGATAAAAGTTATTTGCTCCAAGAATCAAAACTAAGCCCACCTAGAGGGGCACAGTGCCTTAATCCTGGTTGCTGCCACCAGCCTCCACCCTGTGCTCACCTCGGCCGTCTTGGCGTCGCGCTGGAGCTTGTCCAGTTTGCCTTCGTTGGTGCTGAGGAAGTTCCGAAGGACGCTGTTGTCGTGTATACTGCATTCGCGCCGAATCAGCTCCATGCCACGGCCCAGCTCCTTCACATCTAGCAGCACGTTCTCCAGGGACACTGTGGTCATTAGAGCCCAGGCTGAGGCCTGCCCAAAGCCCAACATGCCCACCTCCCAGCCCTGGGCTACAGCAAACTCTGGCCCTTCCCCTCAGCATGGGCTCACCCAGGTTCTCACACTCCTGCTTCTTGAGCCACCCAGGTGGACACAGGAGGGCACACCAAGCTAGCCAGGCTTTCACAGGGGCAAGGAAAATGAATGGAGGCTGGGAACTCATGACCCCAAAGAGCGAAGTAGCAACGGAAGGCAAGCCAGAGAAGCTGCTAGTTTCCAAAATGGAGCTGCCTGAGGCCTGCCCCAGTTTTCCCGAGTTGGGCAGAAATAACAGCTACCTATGTCTGAGGGGCTTTATGGTTTTTCTAAGCATTTCTGACACATCATAGAGAAACACTGTCTCTGGAGCCAGCGTGAAGGGGTTGGGAGTAAAGAGCCACTGCTGCCTTCTTCTGCCCACTGCACCCAGGTGAGAAGGGCTGGGCTGGGTCTGGTGCCTGCAGGGAGGCTCCCTCTGGGGCGGCCCCTACCCATGGCCTCAGCAGA